TACACATTTATTGCTTGCACAAAGGGACCTTACAGTTCTCCCAAACACAGACACTCCTATTGTGTTTCTACAGAGTTCAGCCACAGACACCACGTTTAGAATAACCCAAACATTTCACTTTGTTTCTATTGACGTGCAAAGAAGGGAGGAGGCAGACCACATCAGCTTGATAGGGAGGAAAGGGTGGAAGGCGTCACAAAACAGATAACGAAAAACCGGTATGAGCTATTTTGGCGTTATTGGTTGTAAACGCCAGTGCAGCAGGAGAGGAGAGCGCGGAGCAGGCAGCGGGAGGCGAACAGCGGAGCCCGTGTTACCTTTCCCTGGGAAAGGCTGGCACCCGGCGGCCGAGCCGAGATGCAGCATAGAATATCAGGGTTGGAAAGGACCTTAATATCATCCAGTTCCAACCCCCCTGCCATGGGCGGGGACACCTCCCACTAAACCATGACACCCAAATGACGGCAGGGGGGATGCAGACCTGCCAAACACGCTCTAAGCTACCTTTGGTTATTTCTTATTCTCACATCCATACGGCTGGAAGGCCAGGAGTTAATTTCACTAAAGAGATTATAACTTTGGTTTAGAGCAAGATGAACACCTCACACCTTTTATTTCAAAGATTTCCAGAGCATTTAAAAGACAGATAGGTGGGAAAATACCCATATACAAACCCAGCTGTCCCAAATACCTTAGCACCCATTTCCTCTGTTTTGGCTTGTCAAGAAATAGAACAACCCATAGGCTATATACTAAAGAGAAAGCCATTCCAGTAAACTTTTTTCCTAGCAAGTTTATTTTCTGGCATTTGTAAACCCACTGAGAAAGTGCAGCGCAATCAATACAGCCGAGGCCCAAGTTCTAATTAGAGCCTTCTGTTTGAAAACAGGTTTTCTTTAAACACTATGTGGCTAGTGGTAGTGATAGAATATTCCCTAAAAATAAGAAAATGGTTCATTAGTGTTCATGGAAACAGAAGATCAATCTGCCCTTGCGAAAGTTAATGAATACACACAAATATCACATTGTGACCCCTGATCTCAGTGCCTGAGGCAGCACAATGATTATTATGCACTTGCCAGAATTGCTCAGCAACAGGACTCGGCTGCAACTCTGAGTGCATTAATTTTATCTGTGTGATTATTTAAATTAAGGACATTCTGGCTGCAAGTCACAAACTTCAAGAGTGGTTCATCTGCCTAAATATTAATGATGCTTTTCTGCTATAAGGTGTGAGATGGGAGAGCAAAACTAAATACCAACAATTTTAAGAATAAATAATAACTACAGTGCAAGCATGAAAAATAAAGCTACTTCACTGAAACAAATGCTGAAACCCCCTTAAACTGCTGCCCTCCTTCGAGGAAGCAAAAAATGATTTGTTAAAAAAAAGTAAGTTTTTATTAAAAACACACACACACACAAAAAAAAAAACCTCCAAGAAAATCAAAAACGACCCCAAAAGTTTTTAAGTATGCTGAAAATACCTTGAGGTCTGGAGTGACTTTTGGCAAGTCCTTGCGAGACTCCATCTCCCTCTATAAAACCGAAATGGAGAGGATGTCAGCTATCCTTCCTCTGAGCAGCACAATTACTTACAGTGCCCTATATGCTATTTTAGATAATGGCATTTGCATTGTTACCTGTAATAAGAACACCTAAGGAAAAGAAATATAATTTGAAATCTTGATTATTATGATTCTGCTCCCCCTAATGTACCTGATTCCAAGATTAGCCTTTTAAGACCATTACCCACCAAGTTCTGCTGCAGTCTGGACCATCTCCATCTACCCACTGTGCTATTACCAGTTCACTGGTTCATAGTGGCTCAAAAGGCAGAATAACTTTTCTTAGCATGGATTTCAAAAGTTGGGTAAGCAGGTCTAAGCCTTCTCTTCTGACTCATTTTTACTTTACCCCTAAAATGTACTTTACCATCTCCACTATTATGACTTACAGGCTGGCCACTGGTCTTATGTGGGATGAAAGGGGACCGGGGGTATGGCATTTCTGTCCAGTCTGTTTGGAGCAGCCATTTCAGAAATGGCACAGCGTTACTTAGAGACATGTGAATGTGAAAGGTTACACAAAGCCAAAGACTGCCCCATTGGGATGACTTTGCACAACACTTTTGTGCCTTTGAAAAAGTTATCTAGGAAGATCTATGAACATCTGAGAAAGAACAAGGTTGAAGGATACAAAAGACTGGAATTTGGTGGAGCAACTGAAACTAGTCCATAAAATTGTTATCCTCCTTTTACACACAGGACAAGATCAAGGAAATAAAAAACCCCATGTGAAGTCCTGCTAATGGGAAAGCCTATGTGTAGGGCAGAGACTGAAGAAAAATAGTTCTCGATGATTTATCAGACACTGATCCTTGAACCCCGTGGAACCCTGAGCCCCACAGCTCTACAGATGGATTTGCAGCACATGTTTTTGAAGCAAATCTCTTCAGACAGAGCACAGCCCAGGTACCCCAAAGGTTTCCACCCCAGCGCATCTGTCTTCACCAGTGTTACCAAACACCACGGACATCCAACTGACACACATGACAGCACCATCATGTCAGTATGGTACAGAGCCTGCTGTACAGTCTGAACAGCCCAGCTCCCAACAACTGAAAAGACCTTTCCCTCACCATAAATAAAGCCAGGCGTAGCAAACCCTCTCAGTTCCTTCAGCTACTGACCTTGCTAACAAAGCAGTCAGCAATGATACAAAGATTAAGTATCCTAATCTGTCAGTACCACAAATTAAAACAAAGCAGGTTCTTGATATTGTGTCATACACACACAGGAATTCAAAGCAAAGCTTCTTCTAGGCCTCTTTTCCATCCTTCACAGGCAGTTTCAGTGGAAAGAATAGTATCAGAGCTAGTTGATTTAATGACCCTTCATTTAAAGGCCAAGGTTATAGCAGCTTTTTTTGTCTTCTTGGTAATTGGACTGTTCAACCACAGATGGTCTTACCATATCAATCACTGCATGAGTGAAAGGTGAATAAAAGCATTTACTGAACTGTCATATCCATGATAAAACAACAGATGCTGTCAGCTCTAAAGGGAATCCATTATAGAAGTATACCTGAAAGATAAAGACCTATTAGTCATAACATGCTTTTCAATCACTTATGTTAGCAGTTCAGCTTTGAAATAAAGTGAACATAGTCCTTATTTACAATAAATTCTTATCTTCGCACTATGGTATTTTTTTCCTTTTTCCTGTATTTCCAGAATCACATTTACCTTCACCACAGTCATTGGTTTGCTTCTTTGAAAGCCTCCCTCATCTCCAGGTCCATTACTATGACCCTTCTGGATGCAGAAACCAAACATCTCATATTTTCACAATGGTTTACTTCAATAATTGATAATATGTTTATTAAAGGGCTATATAGATGTTAAACCCGAAACCAGTTAAATAAAAAGATCTTACTGGAGTGACTGCTACCTCAGGACACTGTAAAAATCAGAGAAGCTGAATTGACTTGGAAACATGGTCTCCTTCCTTACTCCTGGAAAGAAAGTCTGTTATAACGGAAGGTAAAGACATTACACAGTGCACAGTGCAAGTCAGGAGATGAACTATTCCACTGTAGTGGGGCACAGGTATCTGTAGCAGTCAAGCACATTAGCTTGGGATCAGCCACCACACAGGACTCCAGCCTCGCCAGGCTTAAGCAGAGCCAAATTACTTCAGCTGTCTTGAAAACTTAATGCTTTTGCATTTCTTTATGACACTTACTAGTTTTGCAGCAACGTGGCCTTTTTGCCTTATGTTCCACTTGTAATCCATAATAACCCTTATATCCCTTTCTAAAGGGCTGCTGTCTTGCTTTTCTTCCCATTATGTGTTTGTGAAGTCAATTAGCCTTGCTTATAAGCACTTGTCCCTATCAAATTTATTTTGTATTCTAATCTTGTATTCCTGTGTCTTTCCTCCCCATTTTATAGATGTGCAGTTTTAATAAGCACACTCCCTATTGCTCCATCCAACTGATTAACCATGACTGGAGGCAGACCCATAACTGCATGCCACTCTGGATAACCTCCTCCAGAGCTGAACACTGACAGCATCTCTGAGTACAGCCCACTGCAACTGTGAGTATAGTTTTGAAATCTCCTTTCAGTCATCATATGGGTCATGATCAACAGCATGCCCCCCCGGTCTGCTCTGAAATTCCATATTCAGAATTAAAAGCCAAGATATTTGCTATTTTCACTTGAACCATAAGAACATCACCTCTGTCATATGAGAAAATGAGTCTGTGCTGACTCATTCTCTACAAACATGAACAAACGAAACTCATTCTCTACAAACCTACTGTAGCTATTGCATCCTTCTACTTTTCTTCCAAGATACCTGCTGAAACCTTAGCTGCTAACATTATTTGTATCAAATACTTATTTCCATTAAAAATATGCAGAGACCATATCCCCCTCTGGCACAACCAAAATAAGACCTAGTCCTTAAGCTTGTTAAGTGAGCAGGACTAAGATGCTTACAACCAGTCTGACTTGTAATCTGATGAGGCATTCTTTTACTCAGAGCTTGTTAACAATATTATTTAACAACACCTCGCTAGCACAGTGCTTCATTTGTATCCGGGTGTTCCTATTTACAGCTGTTATACATTTTCTGACCATTTGGTACAGCACACAGTAGTCAACCATGCTATTTTTGAAGAGTCTGTCTGCTGTTAAATTAAGATGCTGGTGCCAATCTATTATAGTAGTACCTAAAACAGATGCTGCCACAAAACAGAAAAATTGGCTTTCTGCCCCAAAATAGTTTGTGGCAATGTGAGATTCCTGTTGAATTTACTACTCTGTTTCACTAGGACATTCAAAGGTGGTTCTATGGCTTTAGATGTGGATGGGTGATCCACAACAAACCACTATCCCTATCCATCTGTCTTTCCTTTCTTCCAGTGTTGTAGTGGCTCCACAACAACTCTGTTCATGATGCTGGTAGTGATGACAAAAAGCACTGTACAAATTAAGCAGGACTTTTTTATTTCAAGCATTTACAGAGATGGAAATAAATACAGGAAATAGAAGACAGAGAGGGTGCTTTTAAAAGAAATCAATCAAGTCTTCATCAGGCTTCAAACAGGAAAAATTGTATCCAATAGCTACTTAAAACTGGCCACCATTTCAAAGGTCAAGGATTAGGCTGAACAATAATGTAAATAACTGAAGATAAGCATTACAACAAACAAGGATGACACAGCTGACATCAGTGAACACACAGCTGTAATAGACAAAATAGAACCACACTATAACAGAAGAGTCTCATATTTACAACATAGTTTACAACATAGCTATCATACAAAAAACATTTGGAAATATTTAGGGAGTGATTTCTTCTCTGTCCAGCTGTCAGATATAAAAGATACACTGGAGGGTTTGCTGGGGTTTTTTCCAATATAGTTTTAGCTTTTGGCAAAGTTTAAAAAAAACCCTTTGTATTGCAAGAATTTTTCATCCAACTGAAATTTTCCATGTTTCCATTCTTGCTTATCATCATCACTGTCATCCACTGGGCCAGTCTGTCAGAAGACAAAGACTTTGTAAAGTTATTTGCAGTCTTTTATCGATGCTCTGACCTGTAGGTTGGAAAAGTGTCCGTGCGATGAAGCTTCACTGGGCTAGAAACATCTTCACGAAGCCAGATGCAAAAAAAACCCAGAACAACATTCAGTAAGATACAGTTATCTTATTCAGCATTTTAGAAAGGACTATGTGAACTAAAGATTACAGCCTTTTAATTAAACCCATCTCTGCTTAATCTGCTGCTCCACCTCAGAAACATCTCCAAATCAGATTATCATTCCCAGCTCCTTAACATTAGAAAGTTGTACAAAGCAACTCAAATTTTAAAAGTTCTGACTTTGCATTTTACATATAAAAAGCACTTTCGCTCACAACATCAGCATCAGCTCTTTCTCACACATTAGAAAAGAGGACAAGAGCCAACTCAAAGATCGTAAATTCCAACTTTGTTGGAAAAATCTTTTGCAATACAAGGTTTTCAGGTGCCTCTACCATTGAATCAGCAAAATGCTGCTTCTTTTCCATTATACAACTCACTATAACAATGATCTTATATTTCTTTTTCCAGTAGCAATTGAAGCATATCAAGATTTTGGCAACCTAATGTAATTAGAGGTGCTCTGGGTACCACTGGAGTAGTAGCCTCGACTGCTGAACAACACAAGGACTTCAGTGTCTTTCCTAATTACAACATTGGCTGTATGTCTTACTTATTTTACAAAGACTTTTACCCCATTCTCATGACGACAGGCTCCTGGGATTCTTTTTCTCCAGCTTAACAAGCAAGCTATTTTCTAAATATAAAACAAGTGGGGTTTACCCATGCAGTCTATTTATCTTGTGTCAACTCAATGCTGAATTGTTGCTTTAATAAAGGACTCTATAGTAAGGCACAGTAAAAGACCAATCCACTGATTGTGTCAGAGTGCCGCAAGCAGCCTTGTTCTCGTGTGCCACAGGCTGCCACCAGCAGGTCATCTTCCCATGCCCTAATTTATTGAACAAATGTGAACAGGCATGTGAGTGCTGCTTTCATTGTTCCTCCTTACCCTGGAACATTTGACGGGTGTAGCTGGGGCTTTTCATGTGCTGCCTGCCCCCTCTAGTGTTGAGAACAGGAAAAAGAAGCAGCTTTTATCATTTCCTGAAAACCAGAGGACCAGGATGGAACATGGCTGTGTACCTCAGGGCTGCCGGAGCTTGTAATTTTTAATCACAGCTTGTGATAGTCGGTGCTCTGGAGCTTTATTAAAATCTCCAGCTTTATTAAAAAACGTAAAATAAATGTCTGTCTTTCATTATTCCTTGAGAAACTCCTAGCATCTGAGGAGGACAAAAAAGGCACACAAAAAAAAAAGAGAGGCTGAAAGTTTCCCAAACCAGGATGTTTTAAAATATCTGCCTAGTGATTTCTGGACAGTTGGTGTTAAGTAAGGGATATCTCCATGTTGGTACTAGAAAGCCCTGCCAGCTCCTGAAGTTTCCTGATAAACACAGGTTTACCTCGAGGGGTTTTAGCAGGATAAGGACCAAGAGCAGGGCTGCCACTTGGAACAGCATACATCGGCCCTGACCTTTAGGGATGGCAGAGAAATCAACCCATACCCTGGTGGGTTGATTCAGTTTCTAATGCCCCTAAGATGAAGGGAAACTACTTCAGTTTATCATCCAAATGTTTACCCAAGCTCAGCCTTTATTCCACATGTTATAAAGTTATGGGGGGTATTGGCTCCTTCCATTCCATGCTCCTGGCTGACACACTTGTACGAAGTCTTTAGTCTGTTCTCTGATGACTTCTCTAATGCCCTGATCCTGACTTCACAACTCTGCAATGCCAACTTCCATGCAAACACTAACACATCCAATCCACACAGCTTAAAGTGGAAGTGTGTGTTTTGAAACACAAATGGGGGTGTTGTTTGACTACATGGCTACAAGATGCTGACTTTGGACCAGCTCATCATAGGTACTGAGCACCTCCAGCTCCCACTCTAGGGGTGCCTCTGGGGAAGCCAGCTCAGTGCAGCAACACCACACATTGGGTGCTGCAGTTCTTACTCTCAGGAGACTGAAGTTCAGGTTTGAAGCACAGGGGCATGGACGGCTCTCGCCAGCACTGCAGCAAACCGCACCAGGCACCCTTCCCGCAGCAGGGTGTGCTTCCTCTCCATACCCCCCGTGCATCCAGTAACCACTAGATGTCCCTTGGTGACCACGGAGGGGACTCTCTGCAGCCTGGAGAGGCTTTCAGGTGTGAGGGGACTGAGCTGTGCTGCCCCGTGGGCTGACAGCAAACAGGGGATCTGGAGAAGACATCTGCCCATCGCCAGGCCATGCTGCAATGCACAGTGGCAGCACTGCAGCTGTTCAAGCAACAGTTTTCTACAACTACTTATCATGGCCATTTCCTTTTGCTTTCCCTAATTCAGCTGGTTTTGAGGATGCAGTTTTGGTTGAATGTACACAAAATGAATAATGAAGACTGCATCATTCTTCCTATGAGGCAGCCATCCAAAGGAGAGAGGAGTCAAATATTATAAGTCTGGCAAACAAAATCAGGTGCCATTAAAAGAATTTGGTAGCAGAAAGGATTGGGCAATCTTGGTAACTGTCCATCCTGTAATAACTGTCAGAAAACTTGTCAAATGAAGGATCCCTCTCCAACAGGAGGAAGAGCACTTCCTGATCATAACCCCCTCTGCCAAGCTGTCCATCTTAAGGTGGGATATGCCCTTCCCTCCATCAACCAGACTGCAGTGGCAACTTGCTTAACTGAACATCAGCCTTCAGTGGGCTGGACAGATACTGAAATGATTCAACAATGAACGTCTTGATCCGATTTGTGCACTGACTCTTCCCACCCAAGCCCCTTACCTTGCAGACCATAGAGCTTCCCAGTGCTGTGCTGTCGTGTGATGTGCTGCCAGTAGGCGCTGCGGGGCAGGGGCACCATGGTGCTGAGGGACACGGCTCGCTCGCTCATTTTCATCTGAAGCTGCAAAGCAATAAACTGATGTGAAGGAGACTGAGAATAGCACAGCTAAGGGGTGCAAGGCTGCTAATGACAGAGCCAGCACAGCCTCTCCCTCCCTCCATCTCCCACCCTGCACAAGCAGCAGTGACTAGCTCAGGGGTTAGTCTCCATGGGCACACACCACTCAGGTTAGGATGCCACGCTGCTGTTGCACACCAAAGCTCACCTTGGTGCTGCCCTGGTCCTGGGCTAGCACTGCTTCCCCTGAAGGGAGTTGTAACTCAAGCAGCTGAAACAGAAACCGAGGATCAGCAGAAGGTAGAAGAAGGCTGGTATCCTTCCCCTTTAGCTGCAAAGCCATCAGAGGGTCTTCCCAGCTACACAAGCAACTTCCCAAAGCTAAATACAGCTTCAGGACACCAAGAACCTGAGCGGGCATGTTTCACATGGGTAAGGGCAAGTTGTTCTTGTTAGTTTTGAAGCACTTTCTATTCACCTCTCCTACAGCCAAAGAACGTATCAGCTGAATGGCATGGGAGTTCAACAGGAGATAACTGCACCCTTTAGCTAGACTGCTTGAAGGTATGCTGGGAGGAGGGCACGTGGGCTGCAGTGCATTGCTGGAAGCCCCATCTCACACTTTCACCTCCATACAGGGCCTTCAGCTACATTTTTTTTACATAATCACAGCCTTTTGTTATTTATACTACACTTAACACAAAAATACACACAAACTGACTACTTTAAGCCATTTTTTCCCGTTAATTCAATAAGATGTATGTGAGAGCTAATAAAAATGTTTGAATTTCACCAAAAGCCACACAGTGCAGTTCAAATTCTCCTCTCACAGCTCAGGAATAAATCAGTTCAAACACACCAGGACTGCACTTGACTTTGCCAATTTATAAAGTCAGCTTTTATGCAAAAGGGGCAAGTTTTACACTTTAGTTTCATGAAACCTGAGGTGAAAGAACCTTTTACACGACAACCAGTATATTTTAGAGCAAAAACAAACAGGCAAAGCAAGCACAGAAATGAGGTGAGGGCTGGCTGTAGCTGAACAGACCCATTTCCAAGTTACTGAGAGCTGCCATCTACCTTCAGCCTACTCCTTGTACAGCGGACACTGTGCCTGTGATGTGAATGTAAAGCAAAACGAAACCCAGATCAACTTCTGCTCCTGGAACACCCACCTCTGTGTCAGCTGGGTGTGAGTCACTGCAGCACACAAGGTTCCGCCTACATCACACAGTGTATTTCTACAGCTCCTTCACTAGAGCCCTGACACCCTTCACAGTGTCACCACACACACCTCAGCACCATGGAAACAAACAACGAGGGATCTTTCACTGGCAATAAAAATCAGCAGAGCATTGCGAGGATGGCACTTCCCTGTAGATGCCATTTTTGGTGGTTCCATTGGCGGGTTGGGCAGCAAGCTAAGGCGCTTCAAGCAACAGCCTTAACTGTCAGGAGTGCAAACAACTATCTTGGGAGGAAAGAAAGAGGCACAGGTAGAGAAATGTTAGATAAAGATACAGAGAAGGGCCAGGGAGGGTGACCCTCCTGAACTCAATCAGCAGGGGGAAGAATTAAAAACCCCACAGCTGGAGATAAGAATTAGCATGTCGTGTCCTGAATTCACAGCACTTCATCAAAACACCTCGGACTGCAAGCAAAAGCAGCTTTAATGATGATTGATTTCATTCTCACAATTAACCTACTGTAACTCTGCAGCAACAGAAAGAGGAGGAATAACTTGCTAATGACCTGGCTTTATGCTGCAGAAGTACCTGGCACTGTAAGCAGGGCAAAGCAGCCAGAATTGATATGTTGGAACACACATGAGCAATGTGTTGGGAGCAGAGCACCAGGTGGGGCACACAGCTCCACATAGCAAACTATTTGTTGTATTAATGATAACTGGAGGGCACCTAATCCGCAGCCTCTCGCCCTCTTCTGCCCAGGGGAGAAGGAGAATGCCGAATCCTGAAAGATCAGCATCCCCAGAGCAGTCTGAACGCAGCTCCCTGCACACATGGCAGGGATCAAGTTATGTTAAGCCGCATTCAAACCAAAGAAGCAGCAACAGTGTGAGAAGCAATGAGGGACAACACAAAGCCACCTGCAGCTCTGGCAGCTAAGAGAGATCCACAGAGGAAGGGGTTGAGGATGGCGAAGAGGAAGCTAATGCTGAGAGCAGCTGGGGAATTGCTGTGCAACCTCCTGTCACCCAGAGGAGATATGGACAGAGGTGTACACCAAGGCAGTTTGCTGAGGCTCTGCACAGCTTTGGGTCAAACATAGGGTGAGGCTGGTTCCCAGAAGGTTAAGCATTTTCTTTCTTGGGTCCCACCTTGACAAGCTGGCAAAAATGCATTAAAAAAAAAAAAAAAAAAAAAGTAGTAGTGCTAAAAAAATCCAAAGCACCAAAAAAAACCCACATACAACACAAAAACCCCTCAAAAGCCGCGAAAAGAAACACCTGCACACCGTTCTCTCAAGTTAGTTGGGAATATGGCTCCAAAAGGAAAGAAAAGAAAGAGGATTAAAGATTTTGTTAGTTCTGTTGGTTACCTAATGCTGGACAATCCTATTTTCAAAGAACAACTTGCACTCGGTAAGCCTTCATCTTGAGATCCCCAGCTGGAGAAGCTTACACGCACTGTGCTTTTGAGGGGGTTTTCTTTCCAGGGAAGCAAATTTAAGTAATCCAAATCAATCAGCACAATAACTGCTGAAGAGCCATTTGCTAAATTCATTACAGCAAAACTACAGAATGGTGAACTAAGAGAAACAACTTCGGAAATTGAAGGGCACTAACATTGCTGCTGCTTTGACTCCTACCCATCTTACACCAATACTCACTATTCTCCTCTTATGTCAAAAGTGAGTAGCATTTCTACTCTTAATTATGGATCTCTGTGGAAATGGGAAAAGATAGTAGCAGCCTGGACAAAGGCACATCAGGTGGATCACACTTGAGTTGCTGAGAGGGGAAAAAATCAGGGAAGGCTGCTGATAAACCAGCTGATAGTAGCTTTCTATGGAGCATGGAGCTTTAGCTGCCAAAACCAGGAAGTTTGCTGTTATTACTTCTTAGTGACCTGTCAAGTTGTAACGGCTTTTTTAAAGCAACCTGAACTGAGAGCAGGCATAAACCATAGTAGTCAATTCACAGCATTGCTCCCCTGAGTTTGCACAGCAAATATGCATGAAAATATAACCCGAATATAACCCGAAAGATATTTTCTTTCCATTGTCTGGCAATGCAAAAGTGAAAGGAATGAAACATCTGGATGTGATGAGCTACCAAATGACCAGAAAGGCTTCATGCATCACCAAGGAAAGCCAGCTCTTTCTTCCCTTTAAAATAAAAACCAGAGATCTTTGAATTCACTTAAAAGGAAAGGAAACTAAATGAAACCAACTCATGCAAGTGTCACTGACTGGTCAGCGTATGCTCAGACCTTGGAGGCAAGCAACAGCCCGTTAACAGAACATGTCAGGGTGAGGTTCCCAAGCTGAAGAACCACTATTGTGTCAATTTCCCACATGCATTTCAAGAGCCAGAGCCAGTTACAATCACAAACTGAACCAACATACTGTAACATAAAGAGAGTGACTGCTAGGGAGGTGACAGACACATTATAGCCCACATTCTCAACAGTACTTGGCAGCTTTATTTCACTCTAGCAGCATGGGATATTCAGCTGAGGTTTCCTGTTGGGGCTTTTTTGTGCATAGGCTCCAGAAGCCCTCAGAAGCTTAATACCATCTTTACCCTGGTCTGGGATAATCATAACACTGATGTAGCGGTAGTTAGGATTACAGGAGCAAACAGAAGACATGCAGTGTAGACTTCATTTCTCAACACCCTATATCCTACTTTCTTTTATTTACCCTTTCTGTAAATAAAAGCTCATGCTTCACTAATATGAAAATTCACAGGGTAAATAATTCTTGGAGATAGAAATCACATAGACAGCCAAGTGTGAAGTGCAGGCATCTCAAATGAACTCCTTGTTGAGGCGTTCCAAAGCAGGATAAAAATACAGAGGAAATCACTCTGTGTGAACAAAGATGTACTTTACAAATATTTTGTCATCAGCAGATGAAGAAGAAACCTTCTGAGTCTACACTGATACAGTGATGCTCTGCATAAACTTCTAAATCTGACTATCCTTGAACTCCAGAGAAGCCACCAATTCTTACTACTTCTGAACCAGACAACGTGTCTACGATGAACTTGGGAATATTTGGGGCATAAGGACTCCTATCATATTCTGCTACTAAAGTACAAGACTTTCCATTCATCATTCCATTCCAAAAGGAATACGTTCTTAACCCCCACTTAGCACTCTAGCATCCATAAAACTAGATTTAGGTTCTATGGTTGGATGCTGTTCATGAAAAAGCTTTTAGAGGTTGTGCAGCTGCTCTCTATTGAAATCTACAGCAACTGTGCATCTGTTGAGTCTACTGGCACTTCTAAGATGGAAATTTTACAGTACAACATCAGACATCATCTATTTAAGATGCTATTACACAAATGTAAAACCAATGAATATGAAATTGCCTGTAAGCCTTCTCCCTATTCCTACAGAACTTATCCCTGGTTTTTGAAAATGAAGCTGTGCTCTCAACAGGTTACTCCATTGCTTCTGATCCTGGTGGGCTACAAATGTTAGCTAGTTATGCTGATTTAGCCTAGGTTAATTTTAATCTGCTTAATTTAGTTGGTGTTGAGTACTTGTATCATCTACCCATCTGTCTCAACACAGATAATTCGGGATATTTTTGAACACGAACGCCCTTCGTTAACTAGAACTAAAAGGTTCTTGGTTTTAAACAAAAGTCAAAAGCAGCAAAGATGGTGTTAGATGATACTTTACTGGGAAAGGGAAAAATACCAGTGCTGCTGGCTGCAGCATTTACCTGCTAGTTCTAATGCTTTTACAAAGCAAGCAAAGTGACAAGCTCTTCCTAGTACACCTGGAAGTACTCAAAAAGCATGTGATCCAAATGGACACAGGGCAGAGGCTGTCACACGAAAGGCTCCAAGTCAGTACTTCATCTTCACAGACACTGCTCTCTCTTGGGCTTTACAGAAGGGAACACGTTGTAATGACACTAGCCAGAAGTTAACAGAGCAGCACGCTGGTATATCACACTACATAAATATATATATAATTTACATATAAAACACTAACTAGGCTCTTTCCTATTGAAAGTAAAGGCATTGCACAACCCACATAGAAACAGACTTGAATTTTCCTCACTTTCCCATTTCATTTACTATAGAATCATAGAACCATAGGAATAGATTGGGTTGGAAAGGACCTTAAGATCATCTAGTTCCAACCCCCTGCCATGGGCAGGGACATCTAACACTAGACAAAGTCACCCAAAGGTCTGTCCAACCTGGGCTTGAACACTGCCAGGGATGGAGCATTCACAACTTCCTTGGCCAACCCATTCCAGTGCCTCAACACCCTCACAGTAAAGAACTTCTTCCTTATATCTAACCTAAACTTCCCCTGGTTATGCGAAAGTTAGTAAGAGCCTGATACACATTAGCTGCAAGTGCCATAAACTGCCTCCCTTAGACAGAATGCTTTTGGAGATCCCACATGATCTTTTTTCAATCTGTATGTTAGCTTTGCATCTTACACTTCTATATGGGTTGTAAAACAAGTTTTATATACAAAAAGCACTTGTGGAAAACAGACATCCATGGAGAGATCAGACAAACATCTTGTCCTCCGCCTTAGTTTAATCTGAACCATATGACTCCCTCCAAATCATCCTTGGAGTGTAGACATCAATTAGTAAATGTAAAACTGAGCATGAGCCACAACATCTTGCAAATAGATTGATGAAAAATGCTTCCAAACAAACTCATGATGGTGATTAATCAAAGGAACCTAAGGAGAATGTGAACTGACAGGAGTTTATCATCTCTGTAGTGATTCACATTTAGTGATAGCTTTGCAAACACAAAAATCAAGCATTAAGTTCCCTCTTTTGATTCTTGAAAAGCAGTCCCAGTTTATAAATCTATTACCCTAACTGTAATCAGGCACAATGTAATGAAAGCAATAATCAGACTGCTTACTATCTGTGAATCAAAACTTAACATCACATATTGTTAGTTGGTGCCCACTGTGAAGCAACAAACATAGCAAGCAGCCGTACCATTGAATTTTTCACACTCTGCAACAAGCGCTCGTGTTGTTCTGCTATGGCTAAAGCAGCGGAGTGAACCTTCTGATAGATTGCTTCCCCATCTCTGGTCTGAAAGATGAATAGTCCTTCTCCTGTGTCACACATCCTGCCAAAGCAAGAACAGATGGGATCCAAGTGTGAGATTTAAGTTTGCATGAGCAAGCAAAAGTTTATCATGCTGCTCTAGAAGTGCTATTGCACCAGCAGTAAGAAAACAGAGGTTGCTGAAATATGGAACAAAGTTACTTAAGTCTTTGCTTATGGGTCTTAGCAGCCCTGGTCCAACCTTGCTGTTTTAGCCTACATTTGTATTGCTCTCACCAAACAGGGATTCAGCTAAGTACCACTGATCTATCTTAAGTGTTCAAGCTCTAGAGAGATCATGCACAAGACACAGATTTTTAATACTTAGACCCTGTCTTGAATCTGTGCCAGGTAGGATTGTCTTCCCATTGCAGGCTTTTCACACTGCCTGTAATGAGCTTTGCAGAGTTTTGTCTTCCACCTGAAACAATAAATATCTATCCTCAGCATCCCAACTGCATTGTCCTATCATGGTTAATGCATAATCAGCTAAATAAAAGCGTATCCTTTCCCTCCACCAAGGGGCGTTATTCTGCAGTAATACGGAAGATGGACATTTAAACACTCTTCCCTTTCCAGATAAGTTAATTGTATCATCTGTTTCTTTTACTACTGTAATTCTTTCATGTGCTCATCCAAAATAATGCATCCATATCCTTTAGACACGATTTGATAGCTCAATAAACAAGTGCTCCAAATTCAACCAGCCAAAGACGTCAGCTCATTAAAACTGAGCTGCAGGAAGCAATACAGAACATCATTTCTAAAACAAGGAATTGCATTCAAACTTCTTACAAATTCATTTGTCAAAAACATGGAAACTGGTAATCCACTCAATGGAGAAAGAGGAGTTCCTGCTCCATTGCTTCAGTTTGCTTTTAGGAAACAACTTGGCACTCACTGCTCTCAACTTCAAATTCCACTTCCAGTACAGAACCCATAACTTTGTATCCAAAGGGTACATGATATTCACCTCTTCTTCCCAGACCTGTCTGTCCAATTCTCTGTCTCATATATAGTTTTACTGAAGAACAATCCTATACAGTAATATACAATGCTGCCAGCCTCCATCCTGCAAACCCTTGGGATACCTCAACTCCTCCCCCCCCATCCTCAGGCACTTTTACTTAGCAACTGCTTCCTTTCAGGCTGCAACCTGGAATTAAGAGAGGGTTTTTATTTGGTTTTATTTTTGTTTCAATTTTTACCACATATTTTAACATATAAACTATTATATATAATATATAATTATATGAATATAAATTATTATAAAAATATATATTATTTATATATATAAATAATTTCTCTATTAAATATATGGTAAATCTATACATATAAAATATATATATTTTTAGCAGAGACTACAGATTAGCCTCTGTTTGAAGATAAGCTCTCATGTCCTTCAACACCCTGCATAAGTGATCCAGAGCACCACCGAAGAAAGCAATGCAATGTAGTGAACACAGACCTACCTCCCAGCTTCAAATGTGAACCAAGAGGGGTCCCGTCCGTAGCGCCGGAGGGCACTTAATGGCCAAGAGACGAGTTTTACTCTGGGATTCTGGATGTCCCAAAGACAGATATTCTCAAATGTTATCTGCAAGGTACATTCCCCATGCACATCTAAATTAGGGGATGGCATCAAATACACATTGAATCTCTCTGGGAGAAAAACAAAAGGTTAGTCTAAAATCCCTGCCCATTAAATGTGCAATTCATTAAAGGAATTTCCTGTTTTCAATATCTAAGATAAGATCTTATTTCCACTTAGAACACTTAATTCAAAAACAAAGACTCAAATCCTTCCAGTAACCCAATAAACTTTATGTCTAGGGCAGTCAGAATGCTGCATTCATAGGGCATCAAACGTTTGTACACGCATTCAGACACTGAAGAGAATCGCACCATCATTACCCTGATGTTTGCAAACAATTACTAAAATTGTGTGCATGAATAAATACATTGCAATTGCATTTCTGCATGTAACCAGTTCATTTGCATAGGAAAGTGAAGTAGCCATGGGCTCAGGTTTTGCATGCAATTACTATTATTGATTTGCTGCCAAAGAGCCCCAGTCACAAACTGAAACTGTTGTACAGACATCATACAAGAATACAGAAACAAAAGATAGTCCCCATTTTCAAGAGCAACTAGTCTCAGAAAGGAATGGGCTTCTCCAAAATAATTCATTACCTTACTTATTATCTCTGGTAGCAATTAAGAACACACAGAAGCCAAAAATAAAACCCCAAAACAAGAACCCCCGACAAAACAGGAAGGAGGGCTCAGAACAAACAATTTTGCTCCACTTGACTCCTGATATTCACGAGCATAGTCCAAAAGACTTAAAAATGGTGCAAATAAAGATTTAAAAGGTCAACATTTATGTACCTACCACTCTGCTCCCTCTCTACTCCGGATGCTAGCAAGTCAGGCTCTCCAAGGCTAATGTCATTAATCCGTGTTTCAAGACACTCCATCTGCAGCACCTTGCACCACTCATCTGCCTCAAGTTCTGTACAAATGCCCAGAAAATCTGTGTGTAGGTATATAATGTATTGATAATTTCACAATTAATGCTCTGTTTGCTAACGTGCGTTGCCATTTTACTCACCTGACTCACAAGCAAAGGTTTTTGATGTGTCATCACTAAAATAAATTCCAACAGCATGCTTCTTTGTGCTTTTTGGCATTCGTAAGATATTCTTCACATTATTGAGCTCTGTGACCTGGAAAAGCACAAGTTAGAGTTTTAATTAGGAGCTTGAAAAGACACATATCCATTATTGACTGGAGAAGAAGACAAAAGAATAATATCTAACAAAAAAAAGCACAAAGAAGCATTCTTAGACAATCAACTTGAAGCCCCTGGATGATGAAGCAGCCACATTGTCCGGTTCCCTCTTGTCTGTACATGAACTTCAGTGCAACACCATCTGACCAGGATTTTAGCCAAGAGGCAGATGGAATCAACGCTCACTCCAGGTTGAGAAGTATTTACATGAAGAATATGAGAAAGACCAACCTGATGTAGCAGAAGCAGAGAAAGGTGAAGAAAAAAACTTACAGGATTCAGCCATTTGGAGGAGCAAGTCCAGTTCCAGTACAGCTTTCATCATGGAGGACAAAACTGTAAGAATGGTGAAAAGCTGCTCTCTAAATTAAGGATTTGTTAAAATGGTCCACTTAAAAAAGCACAGTTTTAGTTATTAGAAAGCTTTTTAGCATTAAAGATTCAAAGACTTGTAATCACAGACTTCTGCTGCGTGGCTGCCAAAAAGCGATTGGAAAAACAGCTTTCGTGCCAAAAAAAATAAACATGTATCTGTTACCCTGCATACAGCTTTAGTAAATACATACTACAGTTGCTCCATGTTTCTAATATCCACTTTTCACCTTCACAACCGCAAGTAACATTCCTAAATTTGACTGAGGAGAAATTTTTCATTATTTAAATTCCTTTTAATATCAGGCTTGCACCCAGAGAGGGAATCAGGAAATCATATTCAGATATTCATTATTCAGAAAATATTTCACTGATTCTTTAATGTGGTAGGGGTTGAAGAGAGAGAAAAAGGGGGAATTTAACAGAAATGTTCCCAAAGTTGTACAACCTAACACCTTGACTACATTGGTCTCCTTAGTTCTGTGGAATAGCCTCATATCAAACTGCATCAACTCTAAACAAAGAAATGCAGCAATTGTTTCACAGATAGGACTCAGGAAGTATAAAGAGTAATCAGTGTTGTAGGGTCTAGCAACAGAAACCACTTCTCTGGAGCATCCTGGGATCGCCAGCACAACCCCCTCCATCTTAAATCTCTTTCTTGGGGTCATTTTATTGCACATTCTCTGGCAGCAGGGAAGAACAGACAGCCAACCCCCAAAAAGGTAACCTTACTGTGAATGGAAGGAACAAAGAGCAGCTGGTGGGCAAAATAAAAACAAATAATAGATCCAATGTCTGGGAACTCATTTTATGGGCAGTAGGCAGAAGGAAATAATGGAAAGAATATCCCATGGGGAACATGCCAAACCTCCTGCAAAAGGTTTGCAGAAACAGCCAAATTTAGCTGCCAAATTTAGAGCTCAGGTTTTTATAGCCTCCAGGTTCAGGATTTTGAGAAGTGTCAAAACTGAAACTTCCTAATTGTGATTTAATTTTGCATGAGCAGCCTTTTACTCTTCCAGGAAATCCTGTGATGGAAGCACATCCCTCAGTGCTAACAAGGTACTGACAAACTCATTGTTAAGCATGACAAATCTGTCATAACCTATTCCTATCGTGCTCAGGACATGACAGGTCAAGCACAAATTGCCAGCTGCCAAGTTCAACCCTAATGTATTTTTCTCATAGGCCAAAAAAAAAAGATTCAAATGCAGGAAGGAAATGTTCATTCAGGACAGCAACTACCTTGACATTTATACTGAGCGCATTTACATCTTCTGCAAGTGAATGTGCTAATGAAGTTTTGTATCTACAAGTACGAAAGTTAGCAGAAGCGGAACACAGCCATACATTTTGGTAATGAATCATTTAGCTACCTAGGATTTGTCCTAATGGAAAGCTCATTTCTTAAGATCAGGCATGTCACACTCCCGCTGCTGGATATCCCAGTAATTGTCTCTAGACTGATGAAACCTGAGGACGCTGTGACAAGGCTCACCGAGATTATGAAAGTATTTGTACCAGTCAGGGAATAGTAAACTGCCTCTCCATGCTGACTGAGGAGCCAAAAGCACTTCCAGCAGCTAGGAGGCTCAGCAGTACCACCTAGTCAACTGTTGCCCATGGTGAGGGGTAGCACATGCTGTCTCAGCCCCAGGCAGGAAGACATCCTACATGGCAGTGAGTGAGGAAAAGGACACTGGATCATGTGGGATGGTGCCTACTCCTGCAGACTGCTGGGAAATTAAAACCAACCAACCCACCCAAACAGCATCATCAATGAGCCTGTGTTCAAAGCCATGCACCCCTGGTGCAGATGGGAGAGGATGTTCATAACACTGCCAGGAAAATGAGAAAGACAAGATTAAAACATTTCTTTGCCTGCCTACACCAAAATTTGCTTTTCCTGCCTATACTAAAGGAAAGACATTTCTGATCACTATTTCTTTTACTACGGCTGCAACCTTGTACACCTTACCTTCATCACTCCCAGCATCCCTAAGACCACACTTTACCTCCCAAGTTGCTGCAAGCTGCAGCTACTGCCCTATCTCTCTACATGAGCTCCTAGAGTCTCTGCATCCTTCTGAAGGGAGCATATAGACATGCTAGGGATGGACTCTTCATTAGGGACTGTAGTGGTAGGACAAGGAGTAATGGGTTAAAACTTGAACAGGGGAAGTTTAGATTGGAGATAAGGAGGAAGTTCTTTACTGTTAGGGTGGTGAGGCACTGGAATAGGTTGCCCAGGGAGGTTGTGAATGCTCCATCCCTGGCAGTGTTCAAGGCCAGGTTGGACAAGGCCTTGGGTGATATGGTTTGAGTGAGGTGTCCCTGCTCATGGCAGGGGGGTTGGAACTTGATGATCTTAAGGTCCTTTCTAACCCTAACTATTCTATGATTCTATGAATCCATCACTCATTCCTGTAGTACTAGAAACAACCTGTACTTGCCAGTCTCTGCACTCAAGTCTCATCCCTGCCCACCCAGCATCTTCCAGCCTTGCACACTGTTTCTTAAGTGTCGTATCCAAAATGCAGGTCTAGGACTGCATCATCTCTGAAACCAGCCACAGGGACTGAGATTTCCTCCTGCCAATACATCAGATAATTGCAGTCTCCCCCTAGCCCAGGGCTTCACACCAGAAGCAGCTGGTCGCTCCAACAAGGTTTACCCACCACACAGCATAGGTCAGAAGCCACAGACATGCCTTGCAACCCATAATTTTCTTTCTTTAGGTCCCCCAGTCAAGAAAGGTTTCTCCAAACGTTACACGCAGCAGCTCCATCCTGTGGCCCAGCGCAGCAATCTCACTGCTCCCCCCGAGAGAGAACAGCCACTTTTGCTGCAGTCTCTTCAACGGACCATCAGGGAGCTGTGCAGCACTCAAGGTGTGCAGAAATGTGGTGGCTGGGTGACTAAACCTCATGACAGCAAAACTCACTACTCCTTCATTCCCCTTTAGAAATGACTGAACACAAAAAAGGCACAAATATAATGGCACCGTTTTGGAGCTGAGAATAGCAAGTTTTTTTCCTTCTTATCATAAATTCTTCTCAAAAGCCAGTTAGTTCTTGCAGTAAAGTACTTCTTTGTAATCCCAAATGAAGAGTAATATATTCCAATAGAGATTTTACAAGGATCAGCTCATGCTTGAAATCCCAAAGTTCAACATTCTGAACAGAAAAATTTGGTTTCATTTAAACATGCCTTCTCCTACATTTGCTTTTTATTACTGTACTCCTTCTAATTACACTGTGGTACAAAGAAGACAATGCAGATTACCTAAAACATTATTTGTTTCAGCTATTGCCTTTGCAGTATTCACAGTGGCCTGTTTTGCTTTTCTGGGGTATCAACCAGCAGTTAATACATTTTTCTAAGTGCAAACTCTCCCTAAGTCAACACAAGAGAGAAGGATGAAGATAGAGAGCACATGAGAGTGCCACTGACTTGAGCGTTAGTAGGGTTAGGTTTTCCTTTGGTCTGCAAGGTGGGTGTACAGGAAAGGGAGGAAGGAAAAAGGGGTACAGAGATGGGGTGAACAATTTAATTATATGAGGATTTTTGTTTAATATGCTTATAAAGCTCTATCCTGCATCCCTTCCTCGTCACCCTATCTCTGAGCACTATGTCCTGGGAGAAGGGACAGGACATACCAGCCCACAGCCTGAAGCACAGCAAGTCAGGAGCTTCCTTATGCCATGTGTGAATGCACACAGACCGCACTGCAAAGCAGTGTGTACCAAAACCACATCTGCTTTATAGCCTGGTCAAATAAAATTGCAGGCGATTTCACCCCTTGGACAATACCTTGAAGAAATACTGAAATCAAATACCATCGTGTCATTGACTTCACCGATCATCAAATCCTTTATAACTCATGTTTTAGCTTCTGAAATGGGGTGGGGGGGAGGAAAGGTATTTATATTTGTAGAAATGCTAGCTACAACATTTGGCAGCTTCTGGGTAATTCTGTGCTGCACTGACTGCTTGAGAGCTCTTGTATAATGGCATTTCACAAGAGCATGGTCCGAAAGTCTCCACATCAATCTGAAGACTTCCTGATGGTGTTTGCTTCTGTTGAGCAGCACAAGATGACACCAAAGCATTGCTCTTTGAAGGGTGACAGATGGGTAGCCCTTAGTTCTGACCTCTGACCCAGGTCCAAATGTCTACACTACTATGCACATACTCTAGTCTCTTCCCAGACAGTTTCAGATAAGACAGTTTCAGACATAGCAAACACAAGGAGCTTAACAGATGGACAAAATCTGGCACTCTGGGACTATTTCTGAAGTCAGTGGCACAACTGCTAGGATGCAGAAGAGTCACCTGCATTCCGTCCTTCAGCTCTTGCATACCTTCTGTCCTGGACACAACCTTGTGGCACCCAATTTTTATGTCCAGCAAATATATTCTCAGTGAGAACATAATCTCAGCCTGCTCTTCCCTTTGGGGGCTGCACTGCTGAAACTGCCCTCACCTTTCAGAGGTTCTCCAGGGTGGTAACAGCGCCTTCTGGCAAGGCCAAGCTGTTCCTGCTGCCAAGGCTCAACA